GGAATGCCGGAAGAAGAGAGTGTGGTCCTATTGAGCCAGAGTGAATCTATGGCCTACCACCACCTTTGTGAATTTCCCCAACCATGCCCGTGGTGATTGCTTCAATCCATAGAAGGATTTTCTCAAGCTTGAAGAAAAATCAAAAGTGATGGTTTAGCTTTATGCTGCTGACTTGTTCAATAAAGAATCAACCCAAACAGTAGAGCCTTATGGGCCACCTTAACTATTTTCTTATCAAGAATTTTATGAAAATAGATATAACGATGTTATCTAAGTAAAATCTTGGCTGCATTCAACTAACATGAGAGGTGTTAAAGGTTGCATTTAGTAGCCTTCAATAAAGCCAAGTATAATTAAAGTGGAACCATGAATATTTGAATGATAATTTTGTATTATATGAGTTGAAAAGGATGCCAAACAAATGGAAGTTCCTCTTTTACTAGATTTTTTTTTTTCAATGAAATGTTTATCTTTTAATTTTTATTATTTGTTGACCATTGTGGTAACTTATGAAGCGCTAACGCTAATATAAGACGTAGACACAAGAATATGATATAACCATAAAAAGTAGGACTCAATATGTCAAGCTCTTAATGTTTTATTGTTTAATTATTAATATGAAATGCCTAATCAAAACATATGTATGTCAATGCTTAATTTAATAAATAAATAAATAAACAAACACACACACACACACACAATGCAAAATAATATCTCATGTACATGTAAGAGCTTGGATTAACAAAACATAACCTAATGTTGGTCTAGTGACCATTATATTTCAATATTTCATCAAGTGTATGTAGTCTCTTTTAACACATCAACATTAACATTAATCTGGACATGATGTTAATATTGCATTGTCTAAAAAATTTATTAACTCAACAAAATATTATATAATCTTTAAAACGACCATACAAAGTATGAACATATTGATGCGTCACTAATTGAACCTAACAAATCTAACCCTGGGGCATCCTTTGGTTGTCCAACTTTAACCTGAAATTAAATAAATCAAGAATAACTTCAGCATGTCTTTTTGCGTCAACACATGCCCTGGGCGTGCTGCAGGTGTGTTGTATCATTCTCTAGAGTAATGTTATTTGGGATATGAACTAAGAGTTGAGAAATTCATTATGTCTTAGTGATATCGGACAAAAGGGGGTTGGAGAATATTCAATAAGAAAAACTAAAAAAGCAATCCAAGGCAAGAACAAAAATACAATAAGAACAAAGGCAAAATGCACTAATCAAATAAATATACAAGAGTTTCATACTTGCAACCGATCCAGATACAAAAATTACCACTTGAAGGATTGATGAAGGAAGGAGACCCAAGATATCAGCACCAACCCCGTGGATAGAAACTTGTTCCCATCCTGGAACTACAAAGGGAGCAAAGACCCTCACAAATTTCAAATGAAAAAAAAAAATTCCCCACAATAAAAGACCACATATTTATATTCAACAAAGGATCCAAACCTAATAAAAGAAAACAGATAAAATACCCTTTTTGCTATTAGGAGTGGGCGGCAACTCTAACCCTAGAGAGAGAGCCGACTGACCCTCTCACTCTTGGACCAAACCTATACGAGGGGTCGTTCTTGCCCCACGTAAATCTATCAAGGTCGGTGGAGCTTTGACTTTATCTTTTGAAGTTTTTGACTCATGATATGATTTCAAGTTGGCTACGCTGAAGGTAGCAGAGCTGTTGTAACCTCTCGGGATTAGAGGGCCTTTGATTTTCGGCATTGGTCTCCTCTGTGGCATAGTTATGGCTTAATTTTGGGATGTGAGAGAGGGTGTATGGGACTGATTTAGGTGCAGAAAAAAATATTTAAGGTTACTTATTTTGAAAATCAACAATGGGGAATTTGGGTTAGTTCATGATTTGATTATGGTTGGTGGGTTTAGAGGTGAAAGAGTGGGTTAGGTTTCAGAGGTCAAGGAGGGTGTATGGGGCTGATTTAGGGTGCAAAAAAATATTTGGGATTGCTAATTTTGAAAATTAGCATGGGGGAATCAGGGTTTGGTCGAGATTTGGCTATAATTTGGTGGGTTTTGGTAACCCTAGGAGGGAACTAGGGTTATGCTGACTCTTATATCAAATGATACCAGAGAAGAAGGGGGTTAGAGAAGATTTCAACAAGAACAACCAAGAAATCAATTCGAGACGGGAACAGAAAAAAAACCATAACAAATATGATATGCACTAATCAAATAAAAGATACAACCTACAAGAGTTTCCTGCTTTTGCAATCAATCGAGATACAACAATCACCATCTAAATTATTGACGAATGAAGGAGACCCGAGATGTCACCACCAACAATAAAGAGATAATGCTGCTACCACCCAACGACGTGGATATAGACTTTTTCCCATCCGGGAACCATAAAGAGAGCAAAGGATCTAACATGATATTAGGATTGAACGAAAAAAAAAAACCTAATACAACAAATAACCACATATTTATAATCAACAAAGGATCTAAACGTAATAAAATAAATCGACTAAAATACCCTTGATGCCCTCCCACACTTGAATTGAACCCCCCCGCTCCGTGGCCCCCCCTGCCAGCATTACTAAGAGCTTGCAAGATAGTGGTCTGAAACATTTCAATCCAATTTAGTGAAAAGGTCAAAAGGTCATTCACATATTTTCTTTTGGTCAATGGCAATAGCACTCAACCATGCCTGTTTTGCATGACAACTATTATAACATAGTTTTCATCCGCTTTGTAATGAAATAAGGAAAATCACTTGGCAGTGTAGCACTTGGTTGACCTTTTCAGTTTTTATCTCTTTTTTTTGGTGCAATTATTTACATTTAATCAATGAATAATAGTCCATGGATTGATTAGTTTGTCAACCTTTTCAAATTAATAGGTCGAGTGCAAAGAACTCTTTTATAGAGATCTGCCTATATTGGATGACTCTCTTGCAGAACATCTCCTTCCTGGGTGCAGTAGTTTGGATCAGGTCCTTCTAAACGCATTTGTTTTTAACTAAGTGTCAAAATAATCCTTTGACTATTTACATGGGGTCATTTTTCTCCGAGTCTATTAAAGTGCCCAATTGGTCCTCATACTCTTTTAATTGGGCTGAAAATGTCCCTAGAAATGACCATTTTAGTTACCATTAAAATAGTCTATGGACCAAATTGACACTTACAGATTCTGGGACTAAAATAACTCCCTACAAAGATTCAATTGACTATTTTGACATTTTTCTCGTTTTTAATTTTGTATGTGTAGAGTTGCATTCATGCTTCCGAATTTGGCGCTGAAGAAATGCAGCATGTATTGGTGCATATAAATCTGTTTATGTTTTGATATTTAACAGTTTATTTCTTTCTGATGCAATGCCTAGGTGAGAGAATTAATACTACAAAGATGCGAAGAACTAGAACAAACTGCAATCGAACAAGCAACTGATAATGCAATTCTAGAACAACTGTCTAAGGTATCCGACAGCTTTTATTTTTTTCAGCTACACCCTTTCTTCTAGTTAGCTTTTCCCATTTTATTGTTCAAGATTTTCTTTAAATTGTATTTATTTACGTGATATTGTCAGATTGTTGAAGTAGATATACCTCGGTCATTATTTGAAGAGCAAGGCAGAGAAATTTATGGAGCCAGACTACTGCAATTTCAGGTAATGGATATACTCTATTATGTATTTTGAAATTAATTTTCTAATTTCTTTCTTACGGGCAGGCTGGAGGAAAGGTTACCGAACAACAGCTGGCTTCTCTTTCAAGTGAAAAGGTAGTCAACGAGTACCTTGAGAACCAGAAGGAGAATATAACATGTATACTAAAACAGATGCTGTCTGCACATGTTGCTGATAACTGGCATTTTCTGGTTAAGTAGTTGCATTAGCGTTTAGTAGTTTACTAGTTTACAAAGTAGTGATTTAAAGAAGGATATACAAAGATACCACTCGATTCTTACGTATTTACATATCTAACTCCTAAACATTAATTTTTACATATATGCAACCTTGCATATGCATGAAAGTGTGCATTTCACCTTTTAGAAGTTAATATGGTGATATTTTTAATGTGATATGAAAGTTTTGGATGTTATGAATCTAAGAAGTAAAGTTTAGCAGTTAGATATGTAATTACATAGGAATCGGGTGTTATGTCTGTAAATGTTTTTACAGGACCTGCTGTATCATTGCATTCAAGAATGAATTTTAGAAAATGTTTTTTGATTCGAGGTAGAAACAATATAAAACTAAATCTGATGCTTACCCTTGAAACTGCTGCAGTACTCAACAGACGAACTAGTCAAAGAGGTCCAGAATTCCGTGGAAGAGTTCAAGCGCCATAATCAAGAGTATGATGAAGAACGTGTCAGACAGCAGGTACTTATGTGTATCTGTTAATAATTGTGCATGTTAATTTTATTTTAGATTGGTTAGGTTCTTCATGTTATAATTTTTGTGGTATGATGACTTTTCTAGGAAGTGGTATGGATTGAAAACATTTAAAATTGTATGTACATATCTAGCTTTCCTCTCCCACTCCTCTCTTTATCTTTGACACACACATATACATGTGCGAACACAACCACAACTTATTTAGATGTTATAGATACACACGTAGATAATGATCCGTGGCGATGCTACCTTTAAGTGATTTTTTATGGTTCCTCTTCATATATCATGATTTTAGTGAAAGGTTTCATTTATCGAAATAAAATTTCAGGCACTTCTATTAAATTCATTCCCAACTAAAAGAAAAAACAATTTTTTGACTTATTATGCAGGTGCAGGATGTCCTTGAGGGAGCGAAAGTTCTTGAATGGTTGAGAGAGAACTCTGATATCCAGTATGCTTTCAGATGAGAGCAAATCAGAGCGTCTCTGTGAAGGTCACCGTATGTAGATTTTAATTCTCCCTTCACTGGACTTTTGGTGGTGATTTTGGTTCTTTTCCCATTTAGATTGCCATGAATGGTGATCTTCTGTTTATTATGTGTTCTGGCAGTAATTTATTATATTATACAATTTATCCCCTTATGTTTCTTGTTCACTCTCATCTGAAAGAAAGAAAATTATGTAGGATATCAGAATAACCAAAACCGATGCATAACAACAGAGACAAATACAACAAAACACAAAGCTGGAAGTGGTTTGATCGAATCATAACTTTAAACTACAATGAGTCTCAAGAAGATAAACTACTCTGAAAGAGAAAAAAATTTATATAGGATTATCTTCACCAAAAATTAATCAGCATGGATCCCAAAAATCTTGAATTTGCTTTGAGATAACTGCAACATACAATAATTAAAATTACGCATTTCAAAGTTAATTCAAGGGTTTGAGACTTATTCTTACCAAAATATTCTGTTTTTTTTTTCCAATCAGAAATAGATTATAGAACAAAATGACCTTTCCTTATATTTGAAAATATTCAACCTAATACCTCATTATATCTGCCAACAGATTAAGAACGAGAAAAATCTCAAGCTAATACTACCTGATGTCACTTGCAAGATCATTTGCTTTCCATTTTTTCACCTCTTCTTCTTTTCGCATAGAAAAAATGACTATTTATAGATTAGTTCTCTACTCAAAAGACTTTGCTCCAATTAAATAGCCAACCTTTTAATAGCTCTAATCATCAAAGTGTCAGCTGTAAACAATTATAATTGATTCATCTTGAACCTAAATCCTTCAATTCTCCATTTGGCCTTCAAGACTAAATTTTGCTCTTTGCTAATTTAGCGACCTTGAATGTTATTCACGCCAATTAGATTTATATAGTGCATGATTTTTTTAGTTGATATGCGGCTCAGAGACAAATTGCTCAGGTGGATGAGTGGATTCACACTTAAGAGTCAAAATGTGAAGAAAATATGTTTGTGAAAAGTTGGAGTAGCTCCAACGACAGAAAAGATCAGAGGAAGTTGCCTTAGAGGGTTTGGTCACGTTAACGTCGACCATCTGATGACCTTGGTAGGAGAGTAGTTGATTTAAATTAAACTTATGTTAAGATAGGTAGAGGTACACCTAGAAAGACTTGGGCATGTATAAAAATATGTTCTATATTTATTAGAATTTAATGAAAATATGACATTCAATCCGACACAATAGAGAAAATTGATTCATGTAGCCAACCCCACTTATTGGGACAAAGGCTTGTTGTTGTTGTAATATTTTTTTAGTTGATGTAACATATTTGATCATATCTATGGGATTATTATCTTTTGGTTTCTTTGCAACAAGTGCTTTGGAGAGTTATAGAAAAAAAAGTCAGTGGTATAAGATGGAATGTTCATAGCTTTTGCACCCCTCTTTCTAAATATATTAAAACACTATTAATATAAAATTTTCGTGAAGAACAATGCAGCTTTTTTGTCTATTTCTTGTTGTCTCCATCTCTGAATTTTTTATAGCTAGTTTAAGTCCCTTAGTTTCAACTTCGAACTTTGAAAGAGTCATAACATCAGCAATTTTCCTGTTAGCCCTTTCCAATTGACAGCATATCATCAATATGAAATAAAAGATAATAAAAATTCTCAATTCTTGTCTATTATCATACACACTACTGTCAAATTTGCTTCTATTAAAACCAAAGTTCCTCACATTTTCAGCAAAATGTTCATACCAAGGACTTCGCTGTAAAGCATAAAGTGACTTTTTGAACAAACAAATCTCGTCTCTAGCCTTCACTGTCTTGAAGCCCTCTTTGCAGTCCCATGTAGAAATGTTGTATTATCATCAAGTTGTCCAACTCCATATTGTGCTTAATAACTAAAGGAAGAATTAAAAGAATTGAGCAATCCTTTACAGCCAGAAAAAAATTTTCATTGACATCAGTCAATTTCTTCTGTGTGAATCCTTCATTTTCTTATGTTGGAAAAAGCTTTTGCTGCCAATTTCTTCTGCTCCATAGGTTTATTCACCAGTGTAGTTTTTAAGAGGAGAAAACTAATTATTCCTCTTTAATTTCATCGAAAATGATTATAAGATAAATAGAGGGGATGGTTCCGACATTAGAAAATTAATAAAATTAGTCATAACTCCGAATGATAGAAGAAGGTAATATGAATTATATGATATGAACCAAGATGATTTTTCACATAAATTAGGGCAAAACAAAACATTTTATCGTAAGAATTCCAAAGAACACACTCAAACGCATAAAAGATAAGAACCTACAATTCGGGAGGTAGGCTAACTTTCCCAAACCCTAATCCTAGCACCAACAATTCGAGAGGTATGCAATCTCTCCCAAAATCCTAATCCTAATACTCTTGACCACAATCTCATGCATAACTCTAACCTTAAGCGTATTAGCCATAGTTATACCCCACATTAATTAGTATAAAATTACTAAATTGTTTTTAGTTGCATGCATAATAATACTACCCTCGCAAAGAAGCACCGTGTCCTCAAGTTGAAAAAAAAAATTGTCACTGGATCATGTACTATGGCTCTCATGTGGCGTCATCATTTTATGATTCTTTTCTTTTAATCAGAAATTCATAGTGATTCTCATGAGTTTGAAATGTTGTCTTGTGCACACTTTCATACCCTGACTTTTGGTCAATCTTGGAGAATACTGCAGCCCTTAAAAACTCTTCTAGTAGCTCATCGATTGTTGGAATCTCAGTCAACATCTTATATGCGTCTCTTTCATGCTTTGTAACTCGATCCAAAATCCCAACCTTGCATCTTAAATTAACCTCCCCATGATCTTGAGCTTTATCGCAGTCTTGCAGAAATTGGGGTTATCGTAAAGCACCACCATCTTGTCTCTCAGCTTCAAAATTGGTCCCTTGCACTCTCTTCTATTCTTCTTCACATATCACATTCTCATCATAACTTCTAAATCACCTTCCAACTGGAAGGCTGCAACAACAAAAGGCACTAGCCTAGTTGAATCTAGCCCTCAGTCGGGGTCCCACCAATCATAGTTCCCTATTTTAGGACTTCGAATGATCTTCTCTAGCCTCATATCGTATGTTGTCCCATTTTTCCTAGTTCCCTGTTCCAAGCCTTCAAACGATCTTCCCCTGCACAGAATTGCACGTCATCCTGTTTCTCCTGCAGCTGCTCATTCCAAACCTCCTGATGTTGGGCAATTCCCTCTAGATGCTTTTCGATTGAATATGCTCCCGACTCCTTCATTGAATCCCACTTACTTCCACTCGTTCATTCGCTTGGATGTTCTTATATTTCATTTAAGTGCTTCTGCTTAAGACTGCTCCCAATTCCTTCGCTCATTCATATGGCTCTCGATCCATCTAGAACAATGAAGTTGCCGTAATTCCACATTTTTTTAGATTGTTTCCACTCACGTTGTCTTTGGATGGCGTCACTCGATCCTATGGCAGACTTCTTCGGGTTTGTGTGAAGCACGAAGACCTTCATCATTTCTTCTAGGGTTGTGAATCTCCCTTCCATGAATGAGACCCATCCCTACATGGACGAGTCACTCTACCATTTTCAATCTGATTTAGCTCACTTCTCCCTCTAATTTCTTCTCCAGAGTCTCTACTTTTTGGGCTGCTATACTTCCAAGATTTTTTTTTTTTAGTAAGGCAGCAGAACTCTATAATTCACAATCTCGACGTTGGTTTCCCATCTAGCTATAATCGGGAATGTGCGACAAGTTTAGGTCACATTGTGCTTCATAAAGAAACTGAAGTGTGATTGTATCGCATCATGAAGGCACCCAAATTGCTTCTCAGCTAGCTCAATTGTGACAATATCACATCATGAAGGTGTCACCTTTACGTTGTGACCCCATACGTTGCTTCCTAGGTTGAAACGTGTCTGCTTCACGTGGTTTCTTGTACGTCATGATCCCTTCTTTGCTTCCTAGTCGAATCGAGCAACTGTATCACCCTTTGCATAGCGTTCCCTTCATTGGCCTCACAACTATCTCGGATCGTGATTGCTTTGCAGGTAGGCATGACGCTTTGAACCCTAAGTATCGACAATTTCTGCAAGGATGCGAAGGTGCGGCTGTGGCCAAATATTTTAATATCAATTTGATACAAACCAAAATAATTTTTTCAACAAAATTAGGGCAAAAAAAATATTTTACTGCAGGAACTCCAAACAACACATTCAAATGCATAAAAGTTAAACACATATAATTCGAGCGGTAGACGATCTCTCCCTAACCCTAACACTAGCACCGATCTCCTAAACTGAAATTAGCCCTATTTATACCCCACTATAATTAATATATAATTACTAAATTGCCCTTGAGCGCGAATATAACATTATAATACACCAATAATTCTAAATTCTAGAAATAGAAAATACTAATAATATAGTATAATGAAATAAAATCTTCTTGAAAAGCTAGCACTCTCCTTAATTTTAAGCATAGATATCTACCATACCCAACTTCCTTACAAGGAGCTCAAAATTAGTTCTGAACAATTTTTTTGGTTAAGATATCAGCTATTTATTGAGCAATAGAGAGATAAATGACATGCAAATAGCTCCACAATCAATCTTCTCTTTCATGAAGTGTCTGTCAATATCCACATACTTTGTATATTCACATACTTTGTATGATCATGTTGTATTGTATTTTTTGCAATGCTTGTGGTTGTTTTATTGTCACGGTATACCTTCGTTGGCATGCTTATCAAGATATACACCTCTTCAAGAAATCTATTCAATCGTAAAATCTCACATACTCCATTAGTGATAGCCCTATATTATGTTTAAGCACTACTCCTTCCAACCACATTTTGTTTCTTACTTCATCATATAACCAAGTTTCCCCACACATAGGTGTTGTATCCATAAGTTGATCTCCTATCAGAAGCTGAGCTTGCAAAATCTACATCAGTGTACGCATCTATGCTTGTTTGTGTGGTCCACTGAAAGAGTACGCCTTTTCCCGGTGTACCTTTTAGATATTTGAGAATTTTGATGACTGCTTCAATGCGTTTCTAATATGGTGAATGCATAAACCGACCTTCCGAACTCACAACAAAAGTAATATCTATTCGTGTATGTGATAAGTATGTCAACTTCCTAACCAATTTTTGATACCTAACTATATTCGTCGGAACACCTTCCTTTCCATTTCCCAATTTCTTATTGTGATCAATTTTTTTAGAATCCTTCAAATAATTTTCAATGTCATAATAAAATAGGATCATAGGATTCGAGAAAACCTGAATAATAAAATTAAAGCAGAAGCATAATCAAAGAACGACCATAAAAGGACACAGGAATTTTACGTGGAAAACCCGAGAACGGGAAAAAAATGACGATGCTACACTACCACAAATTTCACTTTGAATTTTAGAAAGTTTTACAAATGATTCACACAAATTTCTTCTCCACACTCACAAGAAAAAACTTACGCTGCATTACTCCACACTATTCCTACTGATTCGATGCAAAACATACAAAATCATACGTCGAAAAACACCAGAATCCTGGAAATGCACTGTAAGTTTTTTCGTGACGGTGCATTTCTTCATCTATGGAGAACTCTCACTCTCTTGAATCTTCAACTTGAGTGACCTCCTCAAAGCTCTCTGGTTCACCACTATTAGTTAGAAACAAAAAGTGTAAAGAAGGAGAATACCTTTGTATGGGTTGTTTCACTCTGATGGATTTCCTGATTTCTGTAGCAGATGTCTAAAGAAATTCCAGTGCTCGTTCTGGTGGAGCAATTTTTTTTCTCCATCCGTCTGTTCACTAGTATCATCTATCTTCACATATATGGATTCTTTAGAAATAGTTGGTGGATTGTCTTGAGTTCTGACCTTGTCCTTGTATATCTCCATCTCGTTCAAAGAGACATCCCTGCTCCTGATGAATTTTTTATTCTGATTTTGATAATCCCAGAACTTATACCCAAAGTCATCTGAGTCAATCCAATGAAGGTGCACTTGACAGATTTAGAGTTAAGCTTGCTCATGGAAACCCGCATCAACATGCACATATGCATAACACCCAATTACTCCTAATTGAGATAAAGATATCATTTTGTTTTTTCAGGCTTCGTCAGGTAAGCCTTTCTCCAAAGGTACTGATGGACTACGATTAATCAGATAAAATGCAGTATTAACTGCTTCGGTCCAAAACTTTTTCGGCAAGCTTGCATGCAACTTTCTGCTTCTAGCACGCTCCGTGATTGTTCTGTTCATGCGCTGAGCCACACCATTCTGCTGCGGTGTTTTTGGGACAATGAAATCATGCTTAACCCCCTTTGTAGCACAAAAATTCTTGAATTTCTGATCATGATACTCACCTCCATTATCTGATCAGCCTCAAGCATGTCTCATTTTTTACCATTGCATTCCATTTCTTAAAAAGTTCAAATACATTAGATTTTTGTTTTAAGAAATAAACTCATACCTTTCTCATGTGATCATCAATGAATGCGACAAAATAGCGATAACCTCTATTGGACTGAACTCAAGTAGGATCTCATATATCGGTATGCATTAACTCCAGTTTCTTTGACTTCACCATTGACTCGCTCTTGAAGAAAGAAATTTTTTTCTGCTTGTCATAAATACAGTCTTCACAGAAATCTAGCTCAACTGATTTCAAAACCTGAAGCTAATTCTTTGAACGTAAGGGATTCATAACATTCTCACTCATATGACCATGCCTATGGTGCTAGGTGTGCATCCACCCTAGTTCCAACCGCATTAATAAAATCAGTCATTTCATTGATCAGATAAAGGTTTCATTAAATGTTGTCCCGAGTCATCACTAATGTCTGTTGGTCACCTTCCATGAATCACCTGTGAAAGTTCTCACGAGTCCTGACTTTGTCAGCTGGCTCACAAAGATGAGATTTCTCTTCAAGCTAGGAACATGTTTGAGTTTAGTAAACTTCCAGAATCTAGATTGTTTCATTCAAAAACTTGATATCAACATCACCATTTCCTATTATATTGAAGGCTTTGTTATCTCTCAAAATAAATCTTCTGTAGATCACTCTGAGTATAGTTTTTGAATACATTTTTATTGGGGCAAGCATGAAAAAAGACATCTAAATCCACTATCTAGAATTCATTGTTGATTAGGGATAATACTAGGGAGTCATTTTGGATTTCAACTATAGAGACATTAATAGAGAAACTACTATCCTGTCATCTACCACCAGTTTTCCTTGGAGCTTTGTAGCTCTTCTTGAAATGTCCCTTCTCACTGCAGTTCCAACATTCTTCTCTGCTTGACTTGGGCTTTCCTTTCTTAGACTTGAATATGCCTATGTTTGTATTCCTACTTAGATTCTTCCTCTGTTATCAACATTCAACGCAAAACCTAAAGATTCATAATTCACTATTTTTCTACAAACACCTCATTCAACACAAACTCACTATATCATCGAAGTTCAACATCAAATTCCTTGAAGAATTACTCATCGTTGTTACCAAACCATCTCAGCTTTCAGGCAAAGAATTTAGTAGCACCAGTGCTCTAACCTAATCATCAAAATTGATCCCCATATAACACAATTGGCTCGTCACAGTATTAAAGTTATTGAGATGCTCTGCTACTGAACTGTCTTTCATCATCTTCATGTTGAATAATTTTTTCATCAGAAAAAGCTTATTAGAAGCAAAAGTTTTTTCGTAAATCTTGGCAATGTTGTCATGAGATTCACCATAGTTTTCTCATTGATAATGTTGAACGCAACAGATAAGGAAAGTGTTATCTTGATCAAATCCAGTGTCGTTCGATCCAACACTTCTCATTCCTCCATAGACATAGACTCGGGCTTCTTTGTAATTCCTTGTAGTGACAAGTATAATTTTTTTGATATAAAAAATCCTTCACCTACATCTTTCAGTTCGAATACCTCAAAGATCCCATGTTTTTTTTTTTGTTTAAAAAACAGAAGGGAGACCTTTTCGAACGGTTCATCTCATATGCATCATTTTCAGTGAGATTTGTATCGTCTGCATAGACAAGTAGTATGACAATTTTTCCTTCGGTTGAACGTCTGGAGAACATTGTATGATCTCCCAACCCTTAAGTATACCCTTGACTTTTAACAAATATTATAAATTTTACAAATCATGATTTTGATGACTGCTTCAGCCCGAATAAGAATTTTTTTTAGTTTACACACTTTTTTGTCATACTTTTCATTAAATGAGGTGCATGCATGTACACTTTTTTTGCCATGTCACCAATAAGGAAGGCATTTTTTATTTCCAGTTGTTGTAGAGGCAAGTTAGATAAGTTGCAAGTGACAAAAGAATCCTTACAGAGCTTACTTTTGCGACTCTAGTGAATTTCTCTAAATAAGCAATGCTATAAGTCAAGGGGAAATACCTTAGAAACCAATTGTGCCTTATACTATAATAGAGAGCCATCAGAATTATACTTGATTTTAAACATCCATTTGCACTCGACAATTGTCTTTCCTCTTGGTAGATCAACAAATTCCTACATGTGATTTTTTTCCAGAACTTTCATCTCCTCGAAAATGACCTCCTTCCACTTGAGGATTTTTAGAGCATCTTGCACAGTACCAATAATCTCCATATGTGATAATTGTGAGGTAATTGCATAGAAAGTGGGCCAGAGGTTTTCATATGACACTTAATGGGACAATGGATGTTACGTACAGGACCTTTCCCCCAGTAGAAAGGCTAGACTCATTAGACTCAAGATTCAAACTAGGCTCAAATTCAGGGCTAGAAAACTCAGAACTCGAAGATGAAGTTGATTGAACATGGGATAAAAGATTAGTGAGAACATTATTTGGGTTTGTGGATTCTAGGTAGTGCAATAGTTTGTTAGCCCTTTCTTTTGAGTTGTCCTCCACTGTGAGTGAACAATATCTAATGGTACCACTGTCGTATTTCTTTTTCTTATTTCTTCTTTATTATGAACATCATGAGTATGGGTGTAAGTAGCCGAATCGAGATTTGAATCAAGCTTGACTCGATAGGTGGCTCGTGAGTCGGCTCGTGTAAAATATACTCAAAATGTATTAAATTAAATATTATTTTAAAGTATAAAAAATGTTAAAAAATATATTTTATATTTTATATTAAGTAATTTATTATTATTTCTTCCTACTTGTTCATTTTATTTGTTATTTTATTATAACACAACCTTATATTAATATTATTTTCTCTCTTTTATAATAACAAATTAGCTCGTGAGACAATTCGAACTTGTAAATTTAAGCTCAAACTCGATAAAATTAGTCAAAACTCAAGCTCAAGCTGATGGTTGCTCGAACTTGATTTTACTTGTTTATACCCCTAATCATGAGATGACATTGTAAGAACTTCAATATCTAAAAGGCTCGAAACATTCTCTACTGATATAAAATCGATTAGGTTTTTTGATTGAACAATCAAGGTTATATACTATTTTGGGAGAATCTTTACTTTGTTCCCCCGTTAAGATGAGGTGAGAAAAGTAATTGTCATTCAAAAAAAATGACATCCGTGATGATAAATAATTTTGTAGAATTTTGATCAAAGCATTTTACCCCTTGTGGGTAGAGTAGAACCAACAAACACACTTTTTTGGCTCGAAGTTCAAATTTATCTTGATTATGAAGGTGAACAAAAGTAGTACATTCAAATATCTTTAGAGGTAGAGAATATGAGAGACTATTCTTTGGATTTTTTTTTTTTTGGAAAAAATCAAAGTGTTTCAAAGTTTAAAATTTTATTGGGTGTGTTATTTATGAGAAATGTAGCAATTAAGAACAATTTCACCCGAAAGAGATTTAGGCACCTTATTGGTGAATAGCAAAGCCCCAGCAACCTCCTATAAGTGCTTGTTTTTTCTTTCAATCAAATTATTTTGTTGTGGAGTATTGACACAATGACTTTGATGAATTATTCATTTTTTGACAAAAATTTGACTCTAAATATTTTTAAAATACTTGGGGTCATTATCACTCTGTAATATTTAAATGTTTTTTTTTTTTTTTTGAAATTGTGTGTGCACTATGGTGTAAATTTTTTTAAAAATTAATTTTACTTGAAAATTGCTACTAAGAAAAAAAACATCAAAGAGGTGATACTTAGGTGTGTATTTTATAATTTATCCGCAATTTCAGTATAACACTTGAGCTATATAACTCTTTGCTACTTAGAAAATCCCATAAATATTATATATATACTTTTTTATACTCGTTTCAATAAGAATCTCAACATCAAATATGAAATACATGACTTTATAATGAAAAGAAGCTTCGAAAAATCAAGTGTTTAGGTGTGTACTTATTATCAAGAATGTTAACATAATATTCGAGATATCTAATAATGTTCTTGAGAGAAAGCCCCATCATGATGAGATACGTAGCTTCTTACGAGTGATGTTGTTAGCTTTAACAAAATAGTTGAAGTACAAGGCTTTGTAATGAAAGAAGCACCAAAAGTATAAGGCTTTGTAATGAAAGAAGCACCAAAAGTATAAGGCTTTGTAATGAAAGAAGCACCAAAAGTATAAGGCTTTGTAATGAAAGAAGCACCAAAAGTATTAAGTAATGTACTTTTGATTTGTTAGGAAGTTTAACTTAACACTGAAACACCTGTCTTTAAAGTTGAGGAATAGCACTATATATATGACTTGAATGTATGATGGTAGTTTTAGTAAAAGTTTCAACGTTAAATTTGAAAGTCATAGTTTTATAATAAAAGAAAACCTCATTCTAAGTATGAAGAACATGGGTATGTAGTTATTGATTTATTATGAATTTTCACAATTTTGAAGCACATAATCATGTTCTCAGAAAAATCTCCATAAATAGGAAGTACATAGGGGAAGGTAAGTAAATAGGTATATGCCACAAATAGAATATCTAAATATTGTAAGGTCAAAATCAAAGAATCCTCAATAGTTGAGTTTGTCTATAAGATATACTGAATTTGTTGAGTTGAACTCATTAAAAGAGCAGCTGCACTTGTCCAAGAAAATAGCTCAATTCGTCCAAGAGCTGAATTAATCCAAAAGTAAGAAGCTTAATTTAGTAACTCGTTCAAGAAAATGGCTCAATTCATCCAAGAGCAACTGAAATTATCCAAAAAAAAAAAAAAAATACTCAGTTTGTTCAGCAGTTGAAATCGTCCAAGAAAACAACTCAATTCATCCAAGAGTGAAAGTTATCCGAAAAATTAGCTCAGTCAATCCAAGAGCTGAACTTGTTCATGAAAACAACTTAATTCATCTAGAAGTTGAATTCGTCCAAGAAAATAGTTCAATTCAACCAAGAAAATATTTCAGTTCATCCAGGAGCTAAATTCATCTGGAAAAATGGCTTAGTTGGTCCAGAAGTTGAACTTGTCCATGAAAACAACTCAATTTCATCCATGAGTTGAATTCATCCAAGAAAACAGCTCAATTCATCCGAGAAAATATTTCAACTTATCAAGGAGCTAAATTCATTTGGAAAAATAGCTCAATTAGTCCAGGAGCTGAACTTGTCCCTGAAAACAACTTAATTCATTGAAGAGTTGAATTTGTCCAAGAAAACAACTCAATTCATTCAGGAGCTGAAATTTCTAAGAAAACAACTAATTTTTTCCATGAGCTAAATGTGTCTAAAATAATAGTTGATTTCGCCTGACAACTAAACTCGTTCAGGAGATCTCTACCATTACAGCTCTCATGGGAGAACTCTCTAGAATAGTTCTCCAATAAAAATAACTCTCCTAAGAGAATTCTCCTATTGGCCTAGTTAGCTGACGGGAATGATTTCCAAAATATGACTTATCAGGATAATATTAATTATATTATCCTCGCAAAAAAAAAAATGAAGAGGATATATCAAAAAAATTTTTTGAGTTCTAAAATGTAATTATGACCCTTGGATATTTTATGGGCAAAACTCTTCCATATAAAAGGGAAGAATGAATGTAATAGACTGTTCATTGGAAGGTCGCAAGACAAACCATTAGAAAGTTACACAAAGAAATAATATTGCATTCCTCTGCATTTCTTATATCTATGTAATAGTAATAAGATGTTACATTTTTTAATAAAACTTGAATATACATATATGTGAAAAATTAAGATACACATCTGTTGCAATTGTGTGCCATCATAAGATTTACTTTAATTACACAAATGTGGAGTTGTAATGTGATACTAGCCCTCTAAAGAACAGAAAATGCAAACTTAGCATAACCAATATACCTCTATGAATAGTAAGGGAATTAAAATAAAAAACAACTTGTCAAATTAATAATCTATCTAAAGGAATTTATAGAGAATGTAAGGTCTTGTGCGTACGACTAATCGAACTCAGTTGTTCTCTTTAGAAATCTCTTCAAACCTTAATTTTTTTACTAGAAAAAAGAACATTGAATGTGGAGATTCACTAGGCGTTGACAAAGGAGCTTGAAATGTTGGAAAATATTTGAAAAAGACAGCTCATGCTGCTTAAGTGATTGGAGAAAAAGAAGAAAATAACAAATTTCTAATTTATGTCCTTTGGTGTTTTTAGCAAGTGACAGGTCACAATGCTCGAATACATATCACATTGGTTGGAAATAAAATAAAGAATTTCTAAGTGACAGATTCGGGCGATCGTCTTACCCGCAAAAATGACAGCTCACAAATATGAAAATCACATGTGAATTCCTTATTCATGTGAGATAGGTACTACTAATGGGTTCATCAGCTCGAGCTAGGCAAGAATTTTAATCAATTTTAAGTTTTTTTTTAGCCGTTCACTAAAAAAATCATATAATAATATATTTCCATGTGAAAAATAAATATTTTGTCCAAAACAAATACTCTTTAAGACCCATATTTTATTCCCAACTAATGTCCTACAAATTCAAACAAGCAAATGATTTCATGTACACCATACTTTCATCTAATCCAAATAACCCAATTGTCTTAGTCCAAAAAAAGGGATGCCGGAGGGGTTGTACCACCGCGACTTGCAAATTCCTGTATAGAACGTTCATTAATTAAGTCATTCAGTCATGATTAAGTGTATATTTGGGGTAGCTGCAGCTTATTGATTAAAATAATCTGCTAATAAACTAAGTGACGTTAATTTCAGTGTTTTGAAAAAACATAAGCTGATAAAATTCAGTTTATCCAAACAGATCAGGTGCGTTTTCAAAAGATCACCTCGCCTAACAAGCCTCCCCAAACTGACCCAATCAAATAAAATACCACCACTTACCGGCATCCAATCCTCCATCCTGCATCCAGCGAACCAACCTTCGCCTAACAACCTCATCGCATTCCAAACCGGCAGCTCCAACTGCAACCTCCGCTTTATTCCTAATCCACTCCACGGCTGGCTCCACCGCAGCATCCTTCAGCTCCGCCTCGAGCGCTTGCCGCCATTTTGCCGGCAATCTCTCCTCCTCCTCCTCCTCCTCAACTCTATCTCCTGTGTGGTAAGCCTCATAGAAGGCGTGCACCAATTGCTCCAATTTCCCTGTCGAATCCCGGCAACTGACGGCCATCGCGGCCGCGGTTGGTGGTCTGCCACCTTCCCACAGCCTCGCTCGAGCCTTCGCGTCCAGCGGAGCCATTGCCCTCTTGTATCTCGTCGCCATTACCGTTGCTTCCATGTCTCTATTCTTTTCATTTTCTTTCTCGACTTGGTTTCTGGCATCTTTTATAACCGAAGGCCATTGTTGAAGATAAGAACTTTCAGTCTGCCCCTACTTGAATTGTTAATTTGTAGATGGAACCTCGGAAGTTATTTCCTTATATTTATTTTTTTATTTGCAGACTATGCTATATTTATCCATATGTCCCCTTTATCACTTCTAAATTTTTATTGAATTCTTTATTTTATATGACATATTAAAAATATTATCACCTTTAATATAATTTAGTAATAATATTTTAATAATTTTAATATAATAGTTAATTAATTATATTATAATAGTTTTTAAAAAATTTTTAAATAAACTTAAATATTCAATCTACTTTTAATTTTTTTATGCTATATTGTGATAAATTCCAAGCCGTCCGATCTTCTTAATTTGGAATGTGGGATGATGACGCGTTTCAAAAACTTACGGCGAAGAGGATTTCGGGAGCCCCACACGGCTCCCGACGGCGTCCAGGTACGTGCACGTGATTCGCGCGCAGGGAGTGATGTCGCCAAACGGGTCATGGAGGATTTCAAGGGAATTAACTGCTGATGGTTAGCTTAATGCGTCTTGATAACCTGAATCTGGTAGATGCGTCCAGGTTCGATGTACGTTTGCTCACGTGCGTTTCGGACTGAATCTAGACAGTGTTATGTTTTAACGAATTCGGATGATGGACTGAATTATATGTGTTTTTTTTTATTTTTAGAAACTGATTTGTGGGTATTTTTCTTTGTTCAGTTTGTTATGTGTTGTCATTTTTTGTGAGTCTAAATACCTTACGAGCACGTTTAAATTTAATTTGAGCACTATTTTGTGTTTTAAAAAACATTAATTTTTAAGTGTATATAACGTGTTTTTTATGTTTTGTTAATTAAAAAAATTCATTTTTCTAAATTTTAAAATAACCTTATTTATAGATAAGAGAGAGATTTGTTAGTGATGCATGTCAGAACGTCTGGTAGAATGATTATTTAGCATCTTAGTGTTATATAAGATTTGACTCAATTTAAATATATTTGATACTTTAATGATCATCAAATTTAATATTTTTTAGTATATTTTATATTAATATTTTTTAAACGAATTGGCTCACGAGCAATGAGTCAAGTCGGGGTAGCTTGAGCTAGACTTGTTAGCTCCTTGAGCCTAGTTCATGAGCAACTTATCAATCTGAGCTCGAGCCGGCTCGTGATTTAGCTTGACTCACTTACACCCTTGGTTGTATTGTAGCGAAAGAGCCCGATATGAGTGCACTCAAGCAAGGCACTTTCCATCGGTTGTTGAACTGGTTTTGTGGGCATCTGATGTCAAGCCTCATATAGGAGCTGACGAATCTCATTATGTGACTCCTCCATCTTACGCGCTTGATCCTCTAGAGAGGGTCTCGAGGCACCTTCGCTAACAAAATAACGCCCTCAAGGGTGAAAATTAACGGAGACTTGACATCCTTAGCTCTGTGACTGTCCCCTAGAATGGTCAGTGCTAGAGCGGAATGCTTCATTGTTGTGAGTATTATGTCAATTGGAGATTCGATAATTGTTTCAAGTCATTCGGTTGTGGGTTGACTATTCCCTCAGATGGCCGAAAAATTCATGGCATTTGTGTGATTATTATGTGTTAAACAAAAATCCAATACACACTCAAGTATTTAAAATAACAGGTAGAGTCACAAGGAGTTTTCACATGGAAAACTTAAAAAGGAAAAATACCACGGTGTCTAACCAAAGCAGAGCAATCCACTATGATTTTGTGAGTACATGTACAGGTTCTTGTCTTATAGGTGAGAAATGACTACATAGTTTTTTGAGGTACAATTTTTTTTACACAACAACTAAGAATGATTGCAGTTGGGTGCAGTTACTGGAAGTTTAGTACATCATCTTTGAGGTGAGTCACTATACATTATTCAGGATGCGCACTGCTCCGTATGGTGCTTTGTTACTCACAAATTACGTCGACATTCATAACATATGTTGTGATTTCATAAGAGATTTTGTTGCAACGATGAGGGGCGTCAAACGGTGGTTGATGGAGGCCCACGAGCGGTGGTTGACAATGGTTAGGGGTTACAAGAGCAGTTGGAGTGGTTGCATGACCAGCTGGAGTTCGTTGGACCTCCGATGTAGAACCTGGATCTCTGTTCATTTCTTCTAAGCTTTGAGCTTCCTCCGATTTAGGATCTAGGTCCCACTTAAAGAAGGAGATGGAGCTTTATTTATAAAGTTTGGGGGAGGTATCCCTACAAATAAGAAAGAAATTTAGGCCGCTCCATAAAAGGTTCGAAGAGCTTCCCTCGATTGCATAGTATTTTGTGAACATTTGACTATAAACATGTCAGATTGAGTAATATTAGGCTCATTGAATTTATCTTATCGAGACACTTAATTTGAATTTATGCTTATATTATTTGAAATATATTTGACCTTTCACTCTTGTGGTAGCAGCTTTCAAAAATGACTTAACGACTCATTATGATCTTGATTTGACTTTTATTGGACAAATTTTGATGTCATTGTGTTCTTTTCATTGAGCCGGTCAATTTGATTATAAATTTTGTTAAAATTAGAGTTCTAGATAATCTTTAATTAGAGTTTGAATATTTTTTATCAAAAAAATATTTTGAGATTCATGTATGTCTCGATATTCTTGACATGATAATAATTTATTGATGACATAACAAACATAATACTTAACAACCCATGTTCGGTAATCGGGAAGAGAAATAGCATATTATACATCCAGCTTAGTTAATATTAATATAAATTTTATATATCATTAGTCTTTGTTACTAGCCTATTATTTTTTTTAGTTATCAAGGATCCAACGTTGACTTAATTTATTTTATATTGATTCAATAATCTTTCAATAGCTTAATAATAATTTATTATATTATTTGACATTTCTCATGCAAGATAAATTTTTTATTAACTGGACTTGATTAATAAATTATAATTCCACCACATCCCCTCCAAGGATAGCTCCTTCATGAAGTACGATGCCCCTTATTAAGATTTTGATGAGGGTAGTTGTTGAGAAAATAAGGGCGAAGAAAAATAACAATCGACACAAATCCAGAAGAACTTGTTTGAGAGATCTCAATGCTACAATATTGCTATGTCTGATAGATGATAACGATATAATTATCTCTAAATACATCTACTTCTCGAGAGGCACTATTGATATTGTCACTTTTTAAAGCCCACTTGTAACCTAATCCTTTCCTAAAGAATTTTTAGTTATCGACTCTTCCTCTTGTAGTATGAATCCTTTGATGATGGCGCTGATGTCTTGGATCAACAGTTCATTAGTTGGTGGCATTTCGAGGATCTTCTGCCAATGACGATTAATCGATGGACTTGACGGACCTACTTGTAAAGGTACCTCGACATCCTTGAAAAATGAAAGACACTTCCCGTGTGGTAGTAGAAAGATATGTTCCTTTAAGTTTTCTGTGACAACAAGACAATAGTTCTTGTCGGGAAAATTGGGAGTGGCAAGACCACCGGGATTCCACAATTTGTTTTGGAAGAGAAATTCTTAGAGAAACGTTCGATAATCGCTTCTATGCAACCTCACAGAGTGCTTGCAATGTTTGTTTCTCGTCGAGTTGCTGAGGAGATGAACATAGCGATCGGAGAAGAGAAGCAATGGCTCACCCAATTTTGGACAGGTTCTTCTCGTTGGTTTTTTTCATCTGTTTCCTGCAGCAGTTCAGTTTCTCTAATTTTCTAAAAGTTTCTACCGTTGGAGGTGCAACTTTTCCTGGAGGTAAATTCTGCTGTTTTTTT